TCTAGATACCGCTATAATGACCATACGTTCCATTCAGGGGAAGACAGTAGCTGCGATTCTCTTGGCCTTATGCATCACTGTCATATCTCCAGGAAAGTTGTGTTGTCCGGGATGCATGTAAGGTGCCTTTCTATACATAATGTACAGATACATGTGCACGGAACCCGTGCATGGCCACGTAAGTGGCATATGTGGTAACATGAAGCTTGTGGGGGAAAACTACATTTTGCATGATTGTGTTATGATACTGGATGTTTGTTATAAGAAGACCAACACTTGGCAATGCTCACATAGACTTCCAGGTATGCCCATGCATACACAGAAGTAAGGGGAGAGGATGGGAGTATCGCTCCGCACAGGGAGAGATAAACACTGGAAGACTTGACGATGCGATATGACAGAAAACACTGAGAGTGTAATTCGCTCCACAGAATCCTCACAACCAGTCACAAAGGAAAGCCGCATAGATCACATCCAGGAAGCAATGAAGCAATGATAGTCTGCACACAGTATTAACAATGTTTATTAAACTCAGAGTCTCGAAATGTCAGAATAACCCCAGTACCACGGTGCGCTGCTCAGAAATGAGCAGCACTTCACTCCCCAACCCTGAGTAACCGCTATTACTGCCCCTGAGCCCCTGAAACATCAAGCGCCACCCATATACTGCCTCCAGAGGGAAGCGCCACCCTGGAACAGGCCTCTGAGGCCCAGTGCCTCTCAGAGGATGAAGAAGAAGACCAGCGCCACAGTATCTGATGATGATGGAGTGCCAGAAGACTTCCCGGATGAACGTCTGTAGCAGCGCCACCACTCCTGACAAAGATGATCTCTGAGGAAGAAAGCTGCAGCTATGGCTGCAGCGCCAACATACTGAAACCCTACTCCTGAGGAGGGTCCAGCAGGGCGCCAACTTCTCTCGCCTTCAAATGGCTCGGACCTCTGAACAGCCTCGCTTGCTTTCAGAGTACAGTGCCGGTCCAGCTATGGCCGACACTCCGCTGGTCCAGCTATGTCTGTCTTCTTAAACGCTGAATCTGTCACCACTTCCAGTTCATGCGTTGCACAGCAGCGGCGTATAGGGTACCAACTGCCAAAAGCCCCGAACAGATTTCCTAAACCTCTTCAGACTCTACCCTAGCCTAGACACGACCTAGTCCGGACTGGTAGGACTGACCGGGACTGACCGCCGGACGGGTACCGTTTCAGTTTCGGCCTCTTGGGCCTCTCCCTACCCGGCTATAGGCTATAGGACCGTCTATCAGCTCAGGCCTTTAGGGCCTGTCTGTCCAAGGGGTAGCCCGGGCCCGCTATTCGCAGTTAGGGTAGAGGTAGGGAATTAGGTCACTGCGGGCCTAGATTTTTTCCCCTGAATTTGCAGATATGTCCCTCACGAATTTCCTCACAGTCAGATATCTCGGTTAGCCCTCAGCCAACAAAAAATAGGAATCTAACCTACCTATGTTACAGCCTCGGGTCGACGGGTCACCGGCGGCAGAAAACAGCAAGTCATTGCAATTGCCATACAGCCAATGTCTGGCTGAGAGTCACCGCCTAAATCGTATTCAAATATGAGAAGGGGAGGGGGGGAGATGAAGCACGTTTTTTGTTCTTCAGAGGGCTGAACACCTATCCAACAACCAGCACGTTTCCCAGTCATTTTTTCTCCAAATCGAATGGTGTGTGCATGAGGCTGCAAGTTTCAGGTCAGTCTAGCGGAGCAAAGTGGGTGGCGTCAGCAGCCAAAAAAAGGCCCACGCCGGTTTATTTCTTTTCGGAGTGCAGTGCCTTTCAAGTCTCAGCAAGAGAAGGATACAAAGTATGTGGTACAAAAAACAAAACCGGAAATACGAAGAGGTGTGTGTCTTCTGGGCTACCCACTCAATTTGTTTTTGTAATCTTTTGTACAATTTAGGGTTACAAAAAAAAAAAAAAACGCAATGAAAAACAGAAATCTTGCTTTCCTCTTGTACACAACCTGCGAGTGGATGAGGCCCATGTCGGGGTCTCTCTCTCTCTCTCTCTCTCTCTCTCTCTCTCTCTCTCTCTCTCTCTCTGCTACCAGGTGTTTGTTTGTTCTGTGATATTCGCTATACACAACTCCACAAAAAGGCATGATAGGCAAGGTGTACAAACAGGCCGATCAAGCTCGTCAGGCCTGTGTGTGTCCAATCATAGATCCAATCATAGATTTTTCACGACAGCTTTTGCCTGTTGGCAGCCATAAGTCATTCAAGACTTAGTGTGCAAGATAGAAATTGAGCCGAGAATGGAGCAAAAGAAATAAGAACAGCGCAGGAACAGCCAAAGGAAACAGAAGAAGAAAGAAGAAAAGTGGAAGACAAGTGGAAGAGAAAGAAAAAGAAAAGTGCAACAGAAAGAGGAACGAGATGGCAGAGTGAGGTCACCAGTAGCGCAAACAAGAATGATGAACGTTCACAGAATAAAACAGAGAGTAGCCAAGGTTCAGCAGCGGATATGTCCCTCCTTGCACCGCCTTTCAGCCATTTTCGCTCACAACCATCATCTGGGGACTACAATGCAATGGTGAGTTATCTGTCATTACCTTCGTTTTTTTTTCATTTTTTTTTTTTGGACTGTCATTACCACCACTACCTCCGAGCCTATTTTCGACAAGTCGTGGCCAGCACCCGAACTTTCAGGAGGCCGAGCCTGCCGTTGATAAATCTGATCGGCGGCCGTCGTTTCGTTTCGGCCCCCTGAAAGGTCGGAGGCCGAGTATTTTCGAACCTTCGAAGGTACTGGTGGTTAGGACCGGGGGCCAAGTCCCACTTACCCGAATTCTCAATTTCTGACCGTAGATTAGGAAGATCAACTGCCAGAAGTGAAGAATCAGCGTAAGTGGGAATTGGCCCCGGTACACGGCTGACACACCTCGAATTTCGGAAGCGCGAAATGAAAAACCTACCGCCTATCCAATTTACCAAAGGCAGGCCTTGGGTTTGACGTCTGGGCCTCGTTTTCTTGCGGCAGCAAGTTTCAGTCTGCAAGGATGGGGCTGTGGTTTAAATACCAGAGAATATCTGATATAGGGCCCGGCTCGACAATACAACACTCTACATGCATTTAGATGCTTTCGGGATCAGGTGCGGTAGGACAGGACCCGTCCAACATCTTAAAATTTAAATGGGGAAGAGTTATAAATCACCCCCTGTATTTATTTGCCTCGTAACAGTCCGCCAGACCCCGAAATCACTTTTCATGTGATTTTTGCACGCTGGCTGGGCCAGTAACACCCACTGTGCAGAAATGGCGGGAATGTGTTTTACAGTGGTGGGGGCAAATGAATACAAAGGTTTTGGAGCGGTGGAATTTATAACTTAAAGTTATCAGGTCCACTCAAAATGCATGTACAGCTAGGGCGATTTCCCAGGCGCCCGGGTGCCAAATTCCCGACCGGAATGGCACCCGGGCGCCTGGCCGGTCAGGACCCCCGGTCAGGCCTCCGGGCCAGTTCTGCGCAAGGCCCGAAATTTTTTTATTCGGGGCCTGGGGGGTGCTCTGAGGGTCCTTCAGGCCGGTACCACCCGGCAAAAAAAATTTCGGCCTTGTGCAGACCCGAAAAGTGGCCTGCCCGCGTCGCCGAGATCTGGCCGTCGATCTCGAAGATAGACGGCTGGATTTTGAGGATTTTCAAACTAGTTTGCCCGCGCGTTTTACGAGTTCCCCTACGGAGTCCGCCATCGGAGCCCGCATGACGACCACGAAGCCCCGAAGGCCCGTTGCCATTGCCCCGGAAGCCCACCGCCATCGCCCGCCAACCAGTCCTCCAGCCAGTCCTCGGCCATGGACCGTTTGTGTGTGTGTGTGTGTGTGTGTGTGAGAGAGAGAGAGAGAGAGAGAGAGAGAGAGAGAGAGAGAGCAACCCTCTCTCTCCTCTTCTTCTTCTTCTTCTTCTTCTTCTTCTTCTTCTTCTTCTTCTTCTTCTCGTCCAGCTGCCCATCGCTCCGGACATAGCCCCGCCACCCGCCATCTTCTTCTTCTTCCTCTTCTTCTTCTTCTTCTTCTTCTTCTTCTTCTTCTTCTTCCTCTTCGTCTTCGTCTTCTACTACCCCTTCTCCCCCCATCTTTATCTTCTTCCCCCACTTTTGTTGTTATTCGTCTTCTTCCCCTCCTCCCCCTCTCGTTGTTCTCTCGTCGTCTTCTTCGTCTCCGTCAGGTAGGTACCACGAAACTCGACACGAAAAAACAAATTAAAGAGAACGTATTCCTCCTCTTCCTCCTCCTCAGCTCATCTTCTTCTTCTCCTCCTTCTTCTTCTTCTTCTTCTTCTTCTTCTTTTCTCCTCCTTCTCCCCTTCTCGTCTTCTTCTTCTCCACCTCATCCCCCTATCATTTTGTTCTTCTTCCTCCACAACAACAACAACAGCAACAGACAACCCCCTTACCCGCACCCCCCCACCCATGAAACCCCCCAGGCCCAAATTCACAAAAAAAAAAAAAAAAAGGCCCCGGATTCGGGGTCTACAGACCGAGCGCGGAACAACCCCGTGGAAAAATATATATATATATATATAAAATTCTGGGCCCTTTTTTTCGACGACCGGGGTACCCGAACGTGGGACCGGTCCGGTCGTGGTGACCGGGTGACCGGACGGTCCGGACCGGCCGGTCATGGGAATCTTTCTAGATGTACAGTGTTTTACAGCGGTGGGGGCAAATGAATACAAAGGTTTGGTCGCCGGGGGGGATTTATAACTTAAGTGTATCACGTCCACTAAAAATGCATGTACAGTGTTGCGTAGTGGAGCGAGGCCCAGCTTCGTTCACAAATCTAGCCCTAGCCCGTACACGAGAGCGTAAAAGAGCCTGCGTCATCCGAGAATAAAAGGGGTTAGGGGGGGACTTAGGGGGTCTTTGCAGAAGATACCAGGCTAGGGAGGGACAGCATGAGGAAAGGGAAGGAGGGTAGGCAGCCAGTCTGTAGGCAAGGACGCGGGTGATACAGTGATAGTTCGGGCCGTCATAGCCAGAGGCATGGGAATGGGATCAGGGAGCGGAATCCATGGTCGTAGGGTGATCGGCGGGTGGACAGTAGCGATCAGAAGACGAGAGAACACAAGGAGAGTGAGCTCTGACGTTGAAGATGTCATTTAAAGGGAAGCCACCAGCTAGAGCACCAGTAGACAAGCACAAAACATGTGATGCAATAGGAGTGTGGGCACTGTGGAGAATGCAGAAGGCACTTATGCCCAGAGAAGAAGATGTGAAGACAGATGCTTCACACACTGTCAGACGTGTGGCTTTCACCCAAGGGAAGGAGGAGAGGAGAAGCGTGCCAGTCGGGAATAGGACGCCGGGTACAGAGAAGCAGAATAGCAGCAGCTGAGGTTATGGACTGTGTCATGACTGGTGACACGTACCGGCAGTACAGCCTATAACTGCTTCCACACCAACCAGAAGCAACGTATGTAGTTTAGAACATCCCAGATTCCAGTGTGCAGGCAAACCAGGGAAGGGACAGGGGTACGAGGGGTTGGGATGGGACTGCCTTCTTCCCCCGAATACAACGTACGGTCATTATAGCTGTATTAAGACTGAAAGATGCGCAAAATACAGCTATAATGACCGTGGGTTGTATTCGGGGGAAGAAGGTAGCGGGAGGTGACCAGAAAGGCGGAAAAAAGTCCTACATAAGGCGGGAAAACAGGGGATGGGGCGGACAAAACATGCATTTGAGACTGCTGCACCACATGAGATACGTCACATAGTTCTGAGGAAAAAAAAACGACGCAATCCGGCCTCTTACTAGTTCTTGGACTGTCGAACATACTCTTATCGGGCCAAATCCTTTACCAGGGCCCCCTATTCTCTTTTCCTAGCCTACTTTTGAAGGCCAGGTGGGCCCACGACCCAAATGGCCCAGCAATCATTCTTGGCTGCAGGAAAATCGGATAATTCAGTTTAGGCGTGAAGAAACAACGTGTGCTGGGCAACTTAAGTCCCAGTTTCGGTCCTATAGCAAGAAGGGTCGTGTCATGCCCACTTCGGAATGGCCTTTCTCCGCCTCCTCAAAACGATCAGGAAGTGGGAGAAGATGAAGTAGGCCATGTCATGCCCACTCCGGACAAGGAGTAGCAGGCTAGCAGCAGACATACTAGCAGACTCACAGGTACAGAAATGTCAGCGGCAATGGAAGCAGCAGCAAGAAGAACCAGCAGCACCAGCAAGAAGAAGCAACAAGAAGAAGCAGAAGCAGAAGAAGAAGAAGAAGAAGAGGAAGAAGAAGAAGAAGAAGAAGAAGAAGAAGACAATCTTATGCAACAAGGCACACACAGTTGTGCAAGTAGGCAGGCCGCCGTAAAGCCGAGCTCAGCAGGTGCCGGAGGTGGATGCGAGCTCAGGAAAAAAGCCGCACTGCGAAGCAACAACGCAAGGAAAATCCCCGGGATGCTCTTATCAGCACCACTAGCATCAACTCGGGCTGTTGTTTAAAAAAAAAAAAAAACAAGGCAAGGAAAGTCCAAGCACAGAGTAGAGCAAGCAGGCAGGCCGTTAGTCAGGCAAATAGAACTTGCCACTTGGCATCTCCTGGTTCTCCTTTCGAGTCCTTTAATGAAAAATGCTATGCAGTCTGTTGGTGCTATGTAAATGCTATGTCTGTTTACTATGTTAGAGCTCAAGTGGTGGTACTGTGCCCATAGACGCAAAGTGTCATAGCTGTCACAAGCCCTCTGGTCCTGGTGGTCGATGCTAAATCCGCAGAGTCCCGTGGTTCACCATTGCCACGCCGCCACTGTATGCTTGAGCTGAGAAATCAACGGGCTTGCTATGTGGTTATCACCTTGTTGACTGCTCTCGTCATTGTCCGTGTGCCTCTTTTTTTCTTGGGTGTACTAGCCGGTCTCCTCAAATAACTAACGGCTAGGTTACACCAACCCTTCCGTTTTAGAAATCGTTACATTATGGGGTAATCGTCAATGACATGCTTCACGTCGAGCACAAACAGTCCGTTGACTTCTCAGCTCAAGATCATTGCGAGTTGGAACGCCTTGAAGGTCCCGCCAAGAGCATCAATATCCTTTTCCTTCCCTCGCGCTGGCTTCTTTGTTCTGGAGATGTGTCGTCATCATCTCTGTCTCGCTCTCCTGCCATAACTGATAGGGTTTGCTTGGTGGGAGACAACTACCGTAGCTGCTAGGGTTTGCTTCACGGGAAACCACTACCATAGAAAGGTCATCCGTCTCATCGTCAAGTTGACGTCAACTAAGGTCTGCTTGGAGGGAGACAACTACCATAGCTGATAGGGGGAGACAGTGAGTGAGGCGAGTGCATTGTGAGAGAGAGAGAGAGAGAGAGAGAGAGAGAGAGAGAGAGAGAGAGAGAGAGAGAGAGAGAGAGAGAGAGAGAGTCTTGTATTCATCTAATTGACAAGTGAAGTCTTCAAAGTAGCTATAGAAGTAGCAGCGGAATTGAGATTCTTGTCTGCTCCAGACCGTTACGGGTCGACCCGACTCTACCGCGGCCTGTCGGCTGTGCTTTCCAAGTTTGCCTGCTCCGGAACGTACTAGACTACGAGGATCTGGACAACACTCTGAAAAAGACAAAAGTGTGGCTGGCGCATCTGGCCACGTTCCAGGGGGTGGTTCATTCTCCTTTTACACATTTTGTGAGTGGTGTGGCGATGCCCTTTCCCGGACGGTGGGACTTGGGACAATGGACTTTCCTAACCACCCTAAGCCACCAGTACCCCAGGGGGTCTTAGGCCGCCTCTGACGCAAATGCATTTGGACCGCCACCGTGAACAGATTCAGCCTCCGCGTTAACACTACTGGTGGTGTTGGGACAATGGACTTTCCTATCCTAACCACCCTAAACCACCAGTACCCCAGGGGGCCTTAGGCCGCCTCTGACGCAAATGCATTTGGACCGCCACGGTGAACAGATTCAGCCTCCGCGTTAACACCACTGGTGGTGTACGACGTCTACTGGCCTGCCGGACCCTACCGACCTACGCGCCCTAAGTCGCCACTTCTGCTGATTCTTTTACTGCAGTGGGACTAGGACCACTGGGACTCTGGAACTGGCACTCGGGACACTGACTATGTCGTGAAATCCTATCACAAATTGGACAGTGGCGGTCAATTATGATGCATTTCCTAGCCAAACGCAGGGCGCTCGTACCCTGCTCGGTCAGTCTATGACACTGATATAACACTAAAGATCTCAAGCTATACATTGAATCTCCTCTCCTATCCTATTTAAGCTGGCATCCGTGATGTCTGCGCCACTTAAGTCAAGTAGTTCCAGCTTAGGGAAGTTTCCCGAAATGGCACTAACGTGATCATCCAAGATGTCGGAGTATTTCAGGTATAGAGATCGCAGACCAGGCAGCTTTTGCCCCAGGTGAGTCAGACTAGCTGCAGTGATTCGTGCATACATCAGACTCAGCACAGTCAATTGCAAAAAGCCGTTGGAAATGGCAGGGACGAGACCATCCAGGACGTCACAGCCGTCTAGCTTTAGAGATCGCATACCAGGAAGCCTCTGCCCCAGAAGAGCCAGATCGCAGAATTGGATGGGTGGGCATTTCAAGAATTCAAGAGCTTCCAATTGAGGAGCATTTACCGTAATGATGCGCACTACCGTCTTCACCCGAATAGAACGCCCGGTCATTATAGCCGTATTTGATGCATTTTTCAGTCCAGATACGGCCATAATTACCGGGCGTTCTATTCGGGTGAAGACGGTAGGAGATGACAGGTCCTGAGCATGGAGAGATGCAACGAGATCAAATGTGGGAGGCCTGTCAGCAACCTGCCATAAAAGTCACACACTACACTGTTAGCACCGTGGGGACAAAGCCCCAGATATCGAACTCGAGGACATCCACGAACAAAGGCATCAACGGAAGAGATCCATCCTTCCTGGAAATCGGTATAGGGATAGATCCAGTCCAGTCGCTCTAGAAGGGGGCAAGAACCGCCGATGGACTGCAGCCTCGAGTCGTCGCAGTAGTCTAGCCTGAGATAGCGTAGTCTATGGGCGTCGATGCACTACTCTTGAAATGCACAAAAGACAAAAATCATGTAGCTGTATCTTTCCATGTTCTAGCGGAAGATTCACTCTCGTTTTGCACCTTTCAAGAGTAGTGCAGCGAGGCCCTATCTCTCTTCTGCACCAGGATGTCTTCCAACCCCTTCGGTATTCGTTGATGCGGATCGGAACAGCGGAGATCAACTTGTGTCCCGCTCGCAAAGTCCGAAGAAGCTTGGTGCCATCTTCTGCACACCCCGCACGTCTGGACTCGATCTTTCGCCGGAAGAACGCTGAAGATGAGAAAAAGCACATCGCTTGGAATACATGACCAATCGGCTGTGCCAGCGACCTTCGGGTCATTAACTTCACTGACATCCTCCACCACCTGCTTACCTCTCTGGTTCTCACCTCCCTTCGTCTTCAGACTCTTCACCATCCAGTCCCCCATCTCTCTCTCTCTCTCTCTCTCTCTCTCTCTCTCTCTCTCTCTCTCTCTCTCTCTCTCTCTCTCTCTCTCTCTCTCTC